GATAATTTAGACAGTAAGTTAATTTAACTATTTTAATTAAAGTTTTTCTTAAATTAGATGAAACTCAATTATAAATGTGAATAGTAATTTATGTAATAATTCTTGATTATACTTAATTTTTAGATCGATTAGCTGAAAAAATTGCAAGAAAAGATAGTCTTGCTATAAAATTGGCTTTACGTCCCAATCGTCAAGAGCTTATTAATCGTAATATTCTTCAAGTTCAAAGTGAAAAAGAGCGACAAGAGACTAAAGAAGTTATTGGTGCTCGTCTTATTAGGTAATATATATATTATGTATATTAAAACCTTATACAATTATTAAAATTGTGTCTTAAATATTCATTTATTTTTCTTTTTTAATTAATATAAATTTCAAATAATTTGTAGGCGTTTGAGTATGCGACCAACACAGGAAGAACTTGAAGAAAGAAATATCTTGAAAAGTAAAATATTTTTTTTAATATATTACAATTATAATTAATGTTTTACATGACTAAATTGAATTTCAGAACAAACAGCTGCAGAAGAAAAAAAATTAAAAGAAGAAAAGAAACGCATGTTGTTAAGAAAATTAAGTTTTAGGCCAACAGTTGACGAATTGAAAGAAAAAAAAGTATGTGTTTTTAGTTTTTAATTTTATTTATATGTATTTAACATTATTAAAATTCTAAATATTTAGATTATTCGATTCAATGATTACATAGAAGTGACCCAAGCACACGACTATGATAGGCGAGCCGATAAACCGTGGACACGGTTGACAACCAAAGACAAAGCAGCTATACGAAAAGAACTAAATGAATTTAAAAGCTCAGAAATGGAAGTACATCAAGAAAGTAAACATCTTACCAGGTTAGTTTAACTTATTACCATTTAATTTTATAAAATATATATTCACCAGTAAACATAATATCTACAATAATTATAACTCATAAATACATAAGATTTACTGAAAAATTTAACTTATGATTATCCATGGATTAAGGTGGCATGGCAACTATGGATAAGTAAATTCCTTGATTAATCTACTAAATTACAAAAGAAAAACAATGATTGAAACAGAAGTGCTATTAGTGTTATATTGTTATATGGGTTATATAAATTATGAAATAAACTTTATCTCAACTAAAAGTAACCTAAGACAATGGCTGATTTTGATCGGTTGTTAACAACTTAAATAGTCAGATTTTGTTTCCGGCACATACACGAAAGTAATTCATTGAACCGTAATGATGTTTTGTATTTACAATTTAATATATGCATACACATAAGAAATAATTTAATATCTAATTCAGTAGATAATCAAGGTTAATGCCCTCAAACAATCAAAAATTTGCCACTTCTATAATTCTTCTCAAATGGATGAATCACTATCATAATATTATGTAATGACTGATAAACAATAATTGTTCATTAATTTATCACAGTTTATTATTTTTCTCGACATAGATTTATTTTTAAGAAACAAAATATTTAATTTGAAAATTACCCAAGTTTATTAGTGATGTATTAAATACAAATAAAGACAGATAATGATTGATATATATATAAAACAAAATTGATGGTTATAACTAGGGTTTGGATTTAAAGGCAATATAATTTATGAAAATAATAATTGTAATATTAATTAAAAAATTAAATAGTTTGTATTAAAAAGAAAATTGTCTACTGACAAATAATTTTGAACCAAGTATCTACGCATTATAAAAATATTTTATTCTATAGATACATAGTATGGATACTTTTATAAATGTTAAATGAACAGTCAATATCAAATACTTGATACATATCGCAGATAATAAATCTTATTAAAAACAATTGACAAACAAAAATGCAACTTTAAAACGTATGTTGTGTATAAAACTATCTAATCCAGCGGTTCTCAAACTGCACCGCGGTGCTTCTAGGGTCACCGCGATCTACGTTTCATTAGTTCTCAAAGAGTACTTTTTTTGTTCTATCTTTCATGTTATATACAGCAGGGCACCGCGTAAAAAAAAGTTTGGGAACCGCTGATCTAATCTGATGAAAATTAAACATAAAAAAAAGCATTTGTAAATCAAAAACACATTTATAAGTAAAAAAAAAACCAAAAAAGGCATAAAGTACATCTATTATATTACATATTAAATTACAAATATTTTTATATAATTATTATTAAAAAAAAAGGTTTTTCCCTTAAAATCCGAATCCTAGTTATAATTTATATTAGTTAAGTGTTTTGTTTTTAATTGTTCATTTAAAGATAATATTATGTAAAATTGTAAAATCATATTTATTTAATTTTTTGTTTACAGATTTCATCGACCATGAACTTTACAGATATTCTCACATGTCATTAAACTAAATTTATATTAAAAAAAAAAAAACAAGAAAAAAATATATTAAGCAGAATTGGCTGTTAATTATTCTTGTTTATATAAAAAGTAGGTTTTAAATACACATATATTAGTAAATTAAATATTTAAAAATCAACCAAAATATTTAATAATTTAAAGATGTATTAAACAATTTTTATCAAGTGAGATAGACAAAAATATAAATTATGATAAATATTAGACTATCTTATTTTGACGAGAAGCTTTTGTCCGTCCACATAGTGATTATGTGCAATATTTATTATGCAATAACTCCTAATATATATATATATATATATAAGGGTCTTTCATAGATGACAAAAAAAAGTTTCAAAATTTTTGTTTTCATCTCACCCCTTAAAACATTGAATATACATATAAAATAAAATACATGAAAGATTGGATTAACCATACAAAGTTAACCTATGCTTATTTAAACTTAAAGTTTGAACTTTTATAATTTTTGTATTTATTTTTTAAATCATTTGCCTAATAGAAATTTGTAAAAATAAGAAAATTGAATGAAACTAGATTTACAACGCTTTCCTTCATATTTAGCATAATAAAATTTTTCACGACCAGCTCGTTATAACCAAATATTTATTTTATAATTCAATGTATTTTACTTGTTATAGCCGGTAACTTGTAATAACCATACTCGTTGTAAACGTATATTTTAATATACAATCATATGGACTCATGCCAGGACCTAAAGTTTTGCTTGTTAGCAGTATCTCATTCAAAGTGATGTTCAATATAGTAATTCCTACTGTATATAGTAACATTATACTAGTGTAGTGTTGATTTTTTCAGAACTATTTTATAAAAATGAGCTTCATTAAAGTTTTATACATCTTTTATAAAGTGAAAAGATCATTTGTTGCAAGTACAGGCATCTTATTATCAGATTTGAAGCATTGTTAATGTATTTTTCTTCCTAAGAAAATAAAACCAATTCTATTTTGTTATAAAAAAAAAAAAAAAAATTGAATAGAATTAATACAAATTATGGACTTAAAATATTATTTTATAATGACAATTTGTTATAAACGATATAATATATAATTTATTAAAAATATATTTAAATTATTTATAATATATTTTAATTTTAAATATTTATCATGGAAATGATACCAAACAGTTTTTTTGCTTCAACATTTGAACATTCTAACATTATTTTTCTTTGAAAAAGTAAAAAATCTAGATTTTTTTTGAATACCTAAATTAACAAATATTAAATAGTAAAAATTATTATTTATCTATCATATTTATTTCATTTGTTAAATAAACTATCCACTTCTGATAAAAACACTTTTTTTTTAAATTTAAGATTTGGTTTTTTTTTCTTAATTTTTCTCCATTAATTATTTATTTTTTTCAAGTTTAAATATACAATGCTGAATACCTTATATAGCAATATGAACACATTCATATATGTTTAATTTTATAACTTTTTATAAAAAAAAAACTAATTAACATTTCTTAAATAGACAGAAATGTACCATCAGTAAATCATAACTCTATTCGTGATTTAATAAATAAATATTTTTCTTATTCTTAAATTTATTATATTATAAATGAAGACAATATTTTCAGAGAAAAATAAATAATATATACAAACACTATAAAACACAAGTAACGACTAACAGCTGTTCACCAATTAATCTCAAACTAATTTGTCAATAACAAAAGAGCCGATACAAATGATACTCATTTAAATTATACTGGTTTTTTGTATAAATCATAGAAATATGAAAAATGATAAAAGATTAAGTTATATAATATACAGAAATATAACGTATAAATATTAAATAATCTTGAATATGTTGTTTTTTTATATACTGGAGTCACTGGAGTCAGTATATCTCATAACCTCTGGTATATTAAAATATTTATGCAACAAAAATTAAAAAAAAAAAACCTTTGAAAAATTATGAAAGTTCAAACTTTAAGTTAAAATATGCATGAGTTAATTTTGTCAGATTGATCTAATATTATGAGTGATTCATTTTTGTACCGTTTTAGAGGATGAGATGAAAAAAAAAAATGTTAACTTGAAATTTTAGGACTACCCTAATATATGTATAAAAATAATTAAATTACTAATAATTACCACTTCTGCTTCTTTTACATTCCCCCAAATGCCTCCTTTTATTAAATAATTTTTTGACCCTTCTTTTATTTATTTTTGTTATTATTCATAATTTCAATATAAAAACAATATATTGTACAATTACCATGTTGAAAATGAAAGCTCATTGTTTTGTTTGTTTTTTTTTTTTTTATAACTATTTAAGAAAAGAAATTGAATATCATTTAATTAATTGTATTTATTAAATATCTTGTTTATTTTCAGAATTAGAATTATTTATTATTATTATTATTATTATTATTATTATTATTACATGTAAATAGTAGTAGATTATTTCTACACAATGATATACAATTCTCTTCCTATACCAATTATTTTTTGTAGTATATAATTGTAATTTAAAAATTATGTTTTTTTTTAACAACAAATTAAAAAAAAAATTAAATAATATCAATTTTTGTCTTATAGAAAATACCTTATTTTAGGAAAATTACAATGGATTTGAAAAAAACTTAAGTCAAAAAACCTACAAGTCATTACACAGTGTATAAAATGGTTTACAATATATTCAAATAAAAATACAATACACTCTTAAAATATCAAAACTTAAACATTTTGTATTCAATATTATTAGCCATATGAACTTAAACTGGATTGCTGGAACTATATAGAATGTTTAATGTAACATTTTGATTTTGTTAAAATATAACTGGACAAGTATTTCAATAATTATTCTATATTTAAAACCAGTGCTATATAAATCATCTTGTATAGCTACAGCCTGAATCACAGATAATTTCTAAATACTAGTATGAGCAAATAATAAACACTTGTTGAAACAAAAACATACAATATAAATTTAAAACATAACTAGTAAGTACGTAATCAACAAATATAAAATAATTCCCCTTCTCATTAAATAGATAACATTGTAATAATACGAAAATAGGGAAATAACAAAATTCTACCAACCAAATTCATGAGATGTGTTTAACTCGCGTGTTTGTTTGGTAGCAATAAATGGATTTGATACTCCAAGCACTGAATTATTAATGCTACTAAAATATATTAGTCTATAACTGCCTGGATTTAGCACCAAAGTTTCAGAAAATTTCAAACACACTCTTTTAGAACCATCTGAACATTCTTCAGGAAGGAATTTTACCCTACACAGAGATGCCATATTATCAAATTGTATATTCTCGTCATTTGATTCTTCACGTTCAATGGTTTCTAAAGGTAAGTAAACATATGATAAATAATCATCAAGGCTGGTATATTTCTCCTAAAAAATAATAAATTAAAATTATAAATTATTATTATAAACTGTACATTAATGTACATACTTTGAATACACCTATCCAATCGTTAACCCACGGAATATAATTTTTTATTTGCAAATTGATTTCATTTTCTGTTTCTAATTGCCATGTATTTATTGGTTGGAAAATTACAGGTTGGTCAACATTGTTGAAATTTTCTTCACTACATATCTATTAAAATATTTAGAGTAAGAAAAAAACCATTTAACAAAGACGTTTTAGTTTTATTACTTGAACACTAGCTTCACTATAAACTGGTCTATGGTCACTTAATTGTATTGACTCGATATACTTATATGATAGTACCTCTAGTAAACATTTTTCATTTGATGGATCAATAGTTTTGTATAAAATGCGATCTGTCCAAGCTGGTCTTCTCCTAAAAACAAATTTTGATATAATAAATAAGTTTATATATTTTCTTATTCATCGGTAATACATACTTGAGATCATAACTGCTTGAATCAAAAATAAATCGATAGGTTGGTGGAAACATAGGCAAATATTCAAAAAATCCTTTAAAGGCTTTTGATTTTTGCATGACTGAACTTAACTCATCCTGTGTCCAAATTTCAGCTAATGTTGTTGCATTTCTTATTGATGAATTAATATTATTAACTTGGCTAACAATTTCTTTAGCTGACTTAAATTTTTTATTGTCCAAACGAAAGTTTAGATCACCAAACCAAAAAACATAGCTAAAGAAAAAAAAATTAAACAAAGCTAATAAATTTTTAAATATTTAAAATAATAAAAAAAGTAATTCTTTATAAATGTAACTTAAATATTTTTTTTAAATTCACTAAAATCATTTTTAAATTGTTTAATTAATTTTACTAAGCATAACCTATTTATAAAATATAATTATTTAAATCTAAGTCAAATTTAATTATTTATTATAAAACCTAAAATAGTTTAAATATTTCATACATATACATAAAATAAAAACAGTTATGTTGAAATTGATTACTAAAAAAAATAATTTACATACTCATGATTTAAAATTGTTTTTTTTGATAAACCAAAATTTTGACTTTCAATTATTGTATGATAATCTTTTATTCTATGTTTTAAATACTCTTCATGCGCAGCAAAGTGACAGTTAACACAGCATATTGTTGCTCCATAAATCTTAAAACTAAAACTAACAGCACCTTTATTTCCCTAAAAATTAAATAATTTAAACATTTTACAAAATAATATTAAAACAACAATTTTACCCAAAGGCCTAAAAGTCCAGTACGTGTTTCTGAAGTTTCCATTTCTTTTAAAAGAGGTACATGTTTTCTTTTACAAAATACATTTAGCAGCAATCCAACCATTTTTACAGTACGTATTTTTACATAACTATAGCCACTTAAGACATCCCTATAAAATATAAATTTGTTTTCAGTAAAAATTAAAAAACTAAAAATTTTAATTGAACCTAAGAGCTGCTGTCCATGGGTCATCAAATAATGAATCGAGTATTAAGTTTTGAGGTTGAGCCTTAATTTCTTGTAACCTGTAAAGAAAATAAACAATAAAAATAATAAATCAAAATGTAATTGCTACATTTTGTTGTAGAACATTGTCAGGTATTTTAATGGAGCTTATTTAAATAAAATATTAATAGTAACTTTTTTATGCATATAAATTAACTTCTAATGTTGTTTTTTTTTTTTCATAAGTAGAACAATACTATTTTTAAATAGATCACAAAGATTTATTGATAAAATAATATTTTAATTAAAATTAATAAATTCAAATTAAATACCTTATATTTCATTATTCATAGAATACTTTTTTATGTATTACTATTTGGACATTTGGTAATCAATGATCATTGGGGAATATGTTACACAGAATATGTTATTCTTTTTAATAGCATACATCCAACATGAAGTATTATATAAAAATTAATTTTTCTTATAATATATCAGGGGTGGGCAACTGGCGGCCGCCCGCGAGCCTTTTTTATCTGGCCCGCGCTACATTTTCAAATTGCATTAGGTATAGGTATACAATTTTAACTTATGTCCTATTTCATTTTATACAAAATAAATGCTATTCAAAATGTATATTTTGAATGACTTTTTTTTTTTACTTTCTATGTTCTGGCCCGTTATATTTTAAATTTCTAAAAATTGGCCCTATAGTAACTTTGAGTTGCTCATCCCTGTGATATATCAACATTAGATTTCAAAACTTGAGTTCTTTTTACCGTCATTTAATTTTTAGAATATTATGCTTTACTCGGCTAAATGTTATCTCTTGCATAGTAAACATATACCCATCTAAGTGGATTACAAATACAATTTTTTTCAGAAATCTTGAATAAGAATAATAAATGACAAAATAAAACAAAATATTTGGCAATATCTTATAGATATGCTCTAAACCTAAAATTATCAAGCCATAAAAAGCTTATACTGAAAATATTTGTGTTTAAGTTACTTAGTTTTAGTATATAGTTAATATGCAAATACAAAAACCCCTTATTTTAATAAATAATAATATTGATTTTAAAATATAATAAGCTATTTTATTTTTGCAAATAGACAGAGAGTATCTATTATAATGCAGTATATTAATTTAAAAGAAATATTTTTAAATAGACATGATAATAAACTAACTATTGACTATTGAATTCCGAAGGTCAAATGCCAAATTTAAGTTTTAATTTACAGTCGCATCATGATTATGAATCAGTTTATAATGTATGCACATAAAAAAATAATATTTTATAATAAAATTATGATAGAATAAATTAAAACATGATCATTGAACAAAATGCAAATAATGTAAAATAGTATATCATTTAATATTATAAAAACTAAAACAAGGCATTCAAGTAAAAAAAGTAGGGATTATTGCTTAATATTGTATTTTATAAACTGGTTTTTATTAATAAAATTAAAGACCAAACATAAAATATCATAACTATTTGTTGCATATGATATGTAAAATAAATGAAACTATAGCAACTATTATTTTATTTTTGTCAAATAATAAATATTCATCTGGATAATACAATAAAGTGAATGTTTATAAATCATGAAATTATGAACTATAATACCTTTAAAAAACAAAATTGAACAAATATTTACATAGATTATGGATACTGTAAAATTAAGTTTTTAATTAGTTCTCAATGTCACAGATTTAAAGAATTCTAAAATCCAAATTGTTACATTGGTACTAATTATTTTTGTACAACCATATTAAGTATTTTTAAATTCCTACCTGTGACTTATCAAATTATGATTTTTAATACTAAGTACAAAGTAATGTTGAAATTCAGAGAAAAACAAAAATAAGTCACTAAACGATTGTAACATCTTACTATATATTGGAAATAGGTATAACTAAGGATAATAACAGAAAAAAAAAAAAAATTCACCCAAATAAACAGAAATCTGGTAATTGGTGTTCGGTGCGACCGTTCCATTGCAACAAATCTTCTAAAGGCTGTCTTGGAGATCTAGTAGCGACGTTGTAGGTAACGGTGTAAAATCTGATTGAACATAAATAAAAAAAAAAAAAAAAAACATAGCGTTAAGTTTGAATAGTCGAAATAGAGTTATACCACAAAGCTTACGTTAAATCGCCCATTTTTGCTTGTCCATGAGAAGGGACTGCCCGACTTAAATCGATGGCCTTGTACCGTTGCTAACAGACGACAGTCTTCACGCAAGTCAACGACGCTCTTGGCCTGCGGAGTACACTGTATCAGTGGCGGACTGACAAATGAAGTACCTACATGGTAGGATGAAAATGAGAAACCGGTCACGAAGACCAACGTGATCTGAACCCTCGTCTTGGAATGTTACGCGTCAGCACTTGTGGCGTCGATGATGAGATAAGAACTGAACGTAGAGTGCCGTAGAACGTATGTCCTCGAATTGCGTACATTTGACTACTAGCTAGTTGTCGTGCGAGCGGTAGAACTAGTACAACTACTACTGCTAGTAGTAAAAGTAGCAATATTAGTAGTAGTAGTAGTAATAATAAGACTTGCAGGTCGACGACAATTATTATTATTACGACGGTAGCGGTGATTCGCTGCAAATCCTATGTCGTCGTTGTTTACCATTTTTTTTTTTCTTTTACAACAAACTATTTTTTTCGGTGACCGCCGTTGTAGGTGGGGAAGATTTTAGTGCATTGTGCATTAATGCGTATTAACACACAATCACAGCATTGGAGAATGGAGATTAGCGTATTAGTTATTACTATTGTTGTCGACAGAGTGTACGGTGCAAGCTTGCTGCAGTGTACGTTTCCCCGCGTCGCCGTACTGTTATCAGAGGTGATAACGAAAGCTCGACCTTGACCGTGAGCGACCTAGTGTTGACTGTCGACCATTGATTACTACTTAATAATATTTACCGTCACAAGGGTCGGGACCAACGTGCCAGAAAAAATGTGCAGTAGTTCACACCGCCGTTGTTCTATGTTGTGCATCTTCAAATAGTAATATTGAACATATAATTCATACTATTAAGCTATAACTAACATAAAAATTAAATATCCTTGAAACCCGGACGTGCAAACATAATGTGTTTCATGTTCGCAACGTGTTCTTGCTATAAAGTTTAATAAATAAGAAATATGAATACCAACTTTAAATAGGTTAGTTGTATCTTATATTTTTTAACTAAATTCAAATTACTTACTGTTAATAAAAAAAATAAAATTATTAATTTAAAACCGTATGATATAAAAAGTTATGGAACGCCAATCGTATAGTTGTGTTTTTATTTATAGCTATAATGAACGCATTGCTTCTGTTTGCATTGTGTGTATCGTACAATTAAAAGATTTTTATTTGACTGTCAGATTGTCTTTTAAAAGTGAAGAGATTTTCACACTATTTTTTAACGATTAACGGTATATTACTTTATTAGACACAGTCGAAGAAACCTAATCATATGCCATACGAGTGGTAATAAAATGATAAATACTAAAATTCGTATATATAGTAATTTTTTTTAAATTAACTAAATTATTTTTAATATTATCGTGTAGACTGTATATCCTCAGAGTGCCGAGTGGTATTTAAATATAACATATAGGTATTAGAAAATAAGTAAATTCTCACAATAATCAATTAGGGTGATAGATCTTAATGGTTCTGAGCAAAAATGTCTGACCCTACCATTAATTCGAATTTGAACATTTATACATTTAGTCATGTTTTGAAATATGTGAAAGAAAAATTGAAATAATTCTCCACAGAAAGGTTGGCACTTCATTGGACATTGTTCGTTATAATAACATTATCGTTAACTGCAAGCCAGAGGAAAATCATTTTGAAATTAAGAATTTAAATATTTAATTATAATGCCTAATAAAGGAAGGAATTATTATTAATGGTGACACTAGGGCAGTGAGGCCCCTGTAGTTTGATTAAGTGCGCCACTAAGCTAAATTTATGAGGATTCCAAATAATTAAACCATATTCTAAAATGAAATTGAACAAACTATAAAAATAAAAAAAATTAAGTAGGTATGTCTATTTTTTAAATTAATTTATGTTAAATTATTAAATAGGCATCTATATAACCCTTTACTCCATACCTAAAAATAATTTAATTAGGTACTATGATGAGGAAAATGTGATCTCACTGGTCTCACAACAAATACAAATTGGCCTGCTAATTAATTTATATTAGGTTAATCACTATTAAGATACTCAAACGACGCTATTGATTAACATGAGTTAATACTTGGTAAACCAGATAGGTACCTATCTATTATGAGAAAGTCACAACTTACTAGGAGTAGTAGTGTTCACACAGATCCTCCTTTGCTGTCGGCTCAAACGGAAAAAAAAATAAAATAAGTCATAACTTACTACAATGTATGAATATGATGTAATGTTAGGTACTATAGTACAACGATCAAAACGTGCTATAATTAAGTAAAAAAAATTGACAAGTTTATAAAATTAGAAGCTTTTTTTTTTTTACAAAAATTGTAACATAAAATAAAGGTACTTTAATATATGTATAAAAATACATGCAGTGGAGTAATTTGGCCATGTTAGTAAAATATTATGCCTAATATCTCTCTTGCTCCCACCAAAAAAATTTGGTTTATATCATAGTATAACCACTTCTTAATTCAACTATTATGATCTGCATAATTTATTTAAAATACATATCAATTATCATAAAACTTAAATAATCACATTTTACAAATGGGTATTAACCAAAAACTTTATATCAATTTCATCACTAATCACGCAAGAGATCAACTATCCATAGCTTTAATCTTAGTTTATTAAGTACTTCTTCAGAGTCATTTTAACATTTTTATGAACAGCCAACTCAGCTAGACTATTTAATCTATTCTACAGATTAAAAAGTAAAAATTCGATTTAAATTTAATGTGCAATATAGAAAGCTTATCAAAAATATTAAATATATTTTAATTAAAATTTAAACCTTAGTTATATTATGTTTCTTAGACATGTTTTCATATTTTCACAATTAAAAACGTACGTACTGTTGAAGATATTAAATTAACACATAATTCATAAAAGTTTTGGCAGGTTTGAGAAAAAAAGTTTGTGGAAAGGGAGATTCCCAAATCATAGATCGTGATATCATATTTTTAAATAATATATTTATTCAAACACATGTGAAAAAAAGTCATTGATTTAATATTATTGTGGTCGCCAAAATCTAAAAAATTTCCAAAGTGGGTCGTGCCATAGTTTTGGAATCGCTGCTATGCATATTATTTTCATAAAACAGTTAACATACCAGTGTTACGGTTTACGAACTACGAAGTAATCATGTCAAAACGTTGTACGCTGTGTCTAGTGAGTGCTCAAGGGGAGAATAGGGATTAAAACCCCCCTCGAATTAAGAAAATTATACAATAATAGTAGGTATTTTATATTATCGTTATAACTTATAACTATAAAATATTCAATATTCATATAATAGTTATATTTTATTATTTATTAAATCGCATTTGTTATCTGAAGTTAATATCATAGACATACCTATTAATATTAAATTGATATAGTTAAAAACATTAACCGTGATATTAACAATATTATTATTATATTATTTTTCCAATAATGCACCGTGGTCCGTGATACGGTTCGTTATGAAATATCAACAACGGAAAATCACATCATTAACCACTACAGATACAAAATAGATTAAATTTAACCTGTGCGACCGTTTATGTATATATTGCCGGGCGGCAGAGTTGAGAATGCAGACATGTGCGAATTTCAACCTCCTAATGAACTTTTTTTTTTTTTATTTAGTTGACCCGCGGCTACTAAGGCCATTGGGTTTTGTTAATGATTAGGTTAACATAATATTAGAAGAAGAGAGAAAAAAAAAAAAAATAATGATAATAATAATAATAATAGTAAATATAAGGAGAAAATGAAAGATAAACAACAAAAAAAAAGAAAGAAAACAAAGACAAACAAACAAACAATAGTGATAATATTAGATTTTGATTTTAGATCTTGTTGAGTAAATTTGATCCTGTGACGAATTTGATAGTAGCTGATATAGAGCTGGGATCCGGGTTGAGTGCTGACGATAGTGATTCTGGAAGCATGGACTTTTCTCGGGAATGATCGAATGCACGGCATTCTGTGAATATGTGTTTAATGTCAAGTAGGACTCCGCATGCAGGACATATAGGGGGGTCTTCTTTGGCCATAAGATAGCTATGTGATATTTTAGTGTGTCCGATTCTTAGTCTTGTGATTATGATTTCAAGTTTTCTGGGGAATTCCAGGGGGAAAGGCCAGTAATGTATATTTTGTTTAATTTCATGTAGTTTGGTGGAGTGAGAGGACCACAGGTGGAGCCACGTACTTGTGCACTCCTAATGAACTGTTCATATTTGAAAAGAGTATACGTAATATATAATAATTAATTTATAATATATATATTAATATATGATATCAATGATATCATTATTAATTGTATCTATTACATAATATTGTACCATTGATTATAGAATCTATTCTATAATCAATGATTGTACTTATCCACCTTGATTTAATAATTAGTTAATAATAGCTAAAATCAGTTAAATCAGCAAACCTACAAAAAGATCACTTTTAAGTTATTTCAAAGTGGAACCTAAAATAATGGAAACTTCTAAAGATGAAGATAATTCTCAAGAAGAATTTGATTTGTTTTTGGTGAGGTATCTATCTAATCATGTATATTTTTGCTTCAGATACCTGTAAAATCAGAACTACATCATTGTAATTCAAAAAATGATAGTTCTACTTCTAGTACTAATTTAGATTCTATAAATGATGTAAGGAAGTTAAATACTTAAATATAAATAAATTTTATGAAAATAAAATTATTATTTCATAACCTGTTACTTATTGTTTATTTTAGACAAGTTTAAATGAAATTAAAATGTTATGTACAAATTAATTAAATAAAGAACACATTTATTGTTTTTACGATGGTTAGGTTAAAAGTTTAACATATTATATTTTTTTAACAATAGTTATTTAGAACTCTACGATAAATAGTTAAAAGTTTGATTATTTTTTTAATGACTATTTATTTTTATTTATTTACTAATTGTTTATAAGTTCAATTTCATAAAGTTATCAATTAAATATATGATAGTTGATAGTAGCTTATTGTATTTGTAAATTGTAAATTAAGTATTATAGAATCCTGGGTACGCCACAACTTTTATTAGATACATAATGTACCTATCTAATGAAAATTAATTTGTATAAGCTTATTTTTACGATATTATAATTTATTACACGTAACTGTTTAAAAAAAAAAAAAAAAAATAAGACTATAAATTGTGATATTATATATTTTAGGTTCTGAGCAAGTAATGAATGTATTGGTTTTTTTTCCGTTACTACTTTATGGAGCAGTAAAATAACTAAAGTGCTAGGTTAACGTTCGGTTTAAGAAAGATAATTGGATTATGTAGTTGGAGGAACTTTTGTAGTTCTGTAGAGGTAAAAAATAAAAATTAATATGTACATTCAAAATGATCGGGGAATACAAAAATATGTATATTACAAAAAAACAGAAATGTTTATGTAAATGCGATAACTAATTAAACGCATACATTTTGTTTTGTCATATTTCAAACATAAAATGTAATAGGTATCTACCTACATTTGAACTATTCACCGCATACTAAAAATAGATAAGATACATAACTTTGCTTGAATTTATTGTTTATGCTATTTAT